GAGAGAGATAGAGAGAGATAGATAGATAGATAGAGATAGATGGATAGATAGATAGATAGATAGATAGATGGATAGATAGATAGATAGATAGATAGATAGATAGATAGATAGATAGTTAGATAGATAGATACAGCTAACGCCTTATTACTGAACTCCGAATAAGACTCAGGGATCTCCAAAAGAAGAAGATAAAGACGCAGATGTGAAGCAATTATATAAAGAAAGGCCCACATTTACTCGGGAGCAAATGGCTTCCTCACATCCTTCTTACCAAAAATTAAGCGTTCCCCCTCCCGCACAAATGGATTGTTCCTAAATCACCCTGTGAAATGTCCCAATGGTCTATTCCCCAAGAAATGGAATGCCTTCTACTTGTGGAACATGTAGAACCAGCGTTTTATTTAGAACTGTCAGTTGGGATCGTCAAGGTACAATCACTATTTTTACTGAAAGTAAGGTAGGTAAAAGTATTTTAAGGGCTGATCTGAATAGCCATCACTATAGTTTTAAGCATTTAGCTTCTTGCTTATGCTAAATATTTGGTTTTCTGGAATTGTCACATTGTTTTTTTTGTATTTTGGAAAAGGTTCAAATTTGGTATAATTCCATAACCGAACAATACTTAGGTATCAATAACCCATTGAATGTATTATTGGGGAATTTATCAAGCGAAACACCAGTCATCGCTAATATTATAATGATATTATCATATTAGGCAAAATATATATTTAAAAAATGGGGACATCGAATCCATCCATCCCCACATTTATTGCCTTCGTTAAATGTGTATCTTCTTATCTTCTCAGAATTGAGAAAAATATTGCGACAGTTAAAACAAAATATGTAACGGGAGGGGTCCTAATTACGACCTATGTTCCATGCAAACGCACATACCTTTGGTAATGGTTTGTCTGACCCAAAACTCGCGCAACACGAGCTTTAATATTTACAGATAAAGATAACAATGATTAAAGATAAATATCTGTTTATTTTACTTCAGTGCAGCGCCTTGCACACAAGCGTTATGGTTCGCGAAACTTATGGCAGGTTTTTCGTCATTCTGCCGGTGGAACGTTCTATCGCAAAAGGGGTGCCCTAATTCCGACCTATACAGATTTTTTTACTCGTCTGATTTCGGAGCGTGCGAACTGGAACAGACTTTGTGAGATTACCGATATCAACACAAAAACTTCGTCCATTCTTGTGGTTATTTATAGGCACGTGCTCCCATGCAAAACGCCGCAACAAGGATTTTTCAAACTAGTACGGAATTAGGGATAGGTCGGAATTAGGGCACCCCCCGTTAACGTTAAACACAACAGAAAGTGGAAGCCTTTATAATATCACTGATTGCTAGCACAAGTATCTGCCAATGTATGTATCTGTATGTTCTTCTTTAAGATTGCTTAGACCTAGGAAAATAAATGTTGTGTTTCCTGTTTCCCGACCGACCCTAAAAAAACCGCCGACCCTAGCCTTATTTTTGCGTGTGGACCCCTGCAAGGGAGTCCTTTTCTACACATGTAGCTCTACTGGATCTGACATCTTAGTCAGTGAGTGATGAAACATTATAAAATAGGTTTTTCACCATGTTCTACTAATGATAAATTTCCTGCAGTAGAAAAAGTTATCTAAACACACCCACAAAGCCTCCACAAAGCCTTGAATGATGACACCAGGGTTTCAATTAATAGGATCGGAACAGATCTACGTCGCGCGTGCCTCCCTCTTCATGGCCCCTGCACACGAGGTCATTTGGCGCATTCCATTGTTAGAGGAGGTAAGTTTGGGGAATACTCACCAAGTGTAGTTTACGGTACGTTCTTAATGTATGCTATGTAATAGGTACTGTAAACTAACAGAAATACATTTAAATAATAAAACATGAATATATTAACTACTTTAATCTAACAAATACTGCAAAAATTTTGTCACAGAGAATGCATTCACTTTGTGGCAACATGGAATAGTCCAAGGAGAAAGTAGATTTTGATCCAAAACAATAGCTCCTTTTACTCTGATTTATGTAAATTTGACTCATGTACCGGTCTACAAAGCAATTTCATTACATACAAACATGTTTAAGATATTTTTCTGTCCTTTTTCTTTGTTCCAAGGCGTATTTGGGAGAGCATGTGGTAAATTATGCAACTGTTGCACATTCAAGTCTCTGTAGTTCGCAAGAAAAACAACAAAGATGGCGGAGGCCACATACACGGCCGGGGCAAAGAGCCAGTCAGTTGGGCTCATACATAGGGTATGTGCCCATAAACCTGAGAAAAAACTCTTCTGAAAGAATTTGGAAGAGGGCACTGGAGTCTCGGGGGTGGTGGATTTCATTCACCCTCCTGCTGGAAGTGTAGTCCAGCCCCTAGTGCAGTGCGGGTGCGGACATGCCCCAAAGGACTGGATTGATGTCGAGTACTACACTAACACAACGCTGTCACAGCTGAGGGAATTCGGGCTGGATCATATAAAATCCAGTGCACCGGGGATGAGGCTGGCTCAAGTGGTGCTACGCAAGAGCAGGAACAGCAAGTCAGCGCTTTTGATGTCTTAATGTCACGAATCAAAGTGCCACCACCCAAGAAAACAAGGAGGTAATGTTAAAATATTTGTCTAAATATTTTAAAATGTGGAAAAGGACAGTAGTTTTATATTTTCATTTGGTATTAGAAACCCTATAGTCTAAGACAAAAATGTTGAAATCTTTTTTTCTGTACACCTGCACTGGTACAAGTATGGAGGTAGAAGAGAGAACACGGAACAGTTAATGTTACCTTAAGCTACACAAATTTTATGGATGAATGAATGAATGACTACAGGTGGCATTTTGAACCATATCATAAAGAAATGTCAGCAACATTCTTAGATCTAAGTGTTCTACTTTTTTTATTTAGTGCTGGACAGAGTGAAAGCATAACAAGAAAAGATGAACTCTACAGTGACCTTGTGTCAGACTTCACATCACGTGGTTGCCTGTTTGCCAGGGATCAGGCAGCAAGCGAAGGAGCGTACATAATTCAGGTGAAACTTCCATCTATCTATACATCAATCCCGCAGAAAGACTAATGTCCATCCTCAACATTGGACTGCAGAATGTTGCTTTGGAGAGGAAACCGCTGAGTGAAGAACTAGAGAAGCTTCTCACCCGTGCTGGTTTGTGCGGGCTTAACCCTCAAACACCCGAACCTTTTTTTGTGACGTTAATGCCCGAACGGGGTCCAAATGGACCCCATTTGGTTTCCTTCAAATTTATATTCCTTTTTGCATGCTTTCAGTGACCTTTGCACATATATTGGCTAAACATATTAAGACGTTTATTTTGGCATGATTAAGTGTTAAAAATTCCAGCTCATTATCATAATTTATGCAAAAATAGGATGAGGCCCGCAGGCATGAACATGGGGTTGACCTTTGACCTCATATGATTGTCAAATTGTCAAACCTCAGAAAACATGATGAAATAATTCCTGAGGTTGAGGTTACTTGGCAAACTGCATAATATTAAAGCAATAATGCTTCCTTGAAGACATATTGAGGACTTCCGAACAATTTCGTGTGTAGGAAAGTGCAAATACATGGCTGGGGTCCGTTTGGACCCCAGACGGTCTTACATCAGACTTCCGTTGTTATTTTTACAAATTTTGGAGAACATGTAGAAGAGGTTTACTGACAAAGTCAAGGGAGGATTTTTTTTTAAATAAAAAAAATTCAACTAGCACATAAAAATATACGTCTGGGGTCCAAATGGACCCCGTTCGGGTGTTTGAGGGTTAACAACATAGAGTTCTGGTTACAATTTCTGGTTACAATTTCTGGTTATGAGTTCTGGTTATGAGTTCTGGTTAAGAGTTCTGGTTACAGGGCCTAATTACATGTATTAGCATTTACAATATACTGATACTGCTATTTTATTTTAACTTTTGTGTGTTGCAGGCAGCATGGCAGATGTTCGCCGCCGTCTTGCACAAGAGCACCCTGAGCTTGCCGAAGGATGGAGGTGTTCCATCGAATCTGTGCAAGCTTTGCTGCTTACAAGGTTCAGTGGACTTGCCCTGAAGGACAAACCATTTCAGGTGAAGACACTTTTTTTACATTCAAGATCTAGACAGCAAAATTAGCTTCTTGCACACTTGTGTGTGTCTTCATCATACAGAACAATCAATAACACATTTGACCTTACTTTTTTTGTAGTAAAATTATACTAAGTTGACAGTTATATTATATTTGCTATTTAGTACTTCAGTACTATTCTTACCGGTACAATGTAGGTTATGGATCCTGTGTCGGAAGTAGAGATTGTTTGAAGCGCTGAAGGCCTTGTTTCCAGACCTCGACGTCACGAAGCTTCAGAAGCAGCACACAAAGAAGTCGAGAACGTACAACAACTGGCTACAACAACACTGCCGCCAAACACATGCAGTACAGGTACATGTGCCTTCTATCTAAAATTCTGGCACACGTATATATCTTGATAGTTTTACATATATTTACCCATTATATTTTTTTGTTCATTCTGTATGTCTTTCTTTAGTTTCCAGGTACGCAAGTGCTCTGACGCTTCATGTTGTGAACCTTCAACGCTCGAAGAGCAGCAACTACGGCGGCTTCCAGAACCTCAGCTGGACCCCAGTGGTGACCATTACCTGCCATTCAAGGAAGTATACCCCATGGACACTACTGAGGTTGACCGCCCAACTTAAGTTAGTGCTAGGAGTGGCAAAAGACCGTCATCGGTTCTGACTGTGGAAGATGAGGTGGGACAGATGGATGCCAACAAGTACACAGCCCAAAATGAGCGGGCAGTAGTTCAATGCATAGAATGCAGAAAGCCGCGGCTTGTATACTCAGCAAGGAAACTGACAGGAAGACAAAAAAAACAAGCCTGGCGTGTCTGTACGAATACTAATGTGGCAGTGTCGCAACGCCACCAGAGCACCTACTCCACAGTGTAGTATTTGTCCGTACCTCCATGACCTGTGAAAGTAGAATAGAGACGGCATTCTATGGCTCTGAGTGTGGTCGATTAGACTTGTGCTGTTACTGTGCTTCTCCAAATGCGGAGGTGAATGAGGAGCTGAAGCGCCAGTATAAAACTGTCCTGCCCTTCTGCCCTTTATGTCACAAGAAGGGGTGCAGGGCAGTCTGTTTGAGACCCATAAAAAAGTAATCACTGTTCATACCTCCAGCTCTTGATTCTTGCCACCATTCAATTAGATTAAACAGTGACTATACCTGTCATGATGTATACACAGCAACCGGTTTGAGACCGACCATTAATGTCCTTAAACTTTATACTGTTTGCTTATCAAATAATGTTTTGAAATATGGTGCTATCCGAACTAGGTGGCATGTTCATTGTGATGTCTTGAAAGTTATAGCTAATGTTTAATCTAAATACCTGGTGTTCAAGAATAAAAAGCTGGCAGTATGGATTTTGATGGTTCGATGTTCAATAACATCAGAAAAGTGTGCATTTTATGTGGATGCTATGTTCATTGAATGGTACTACATGTTTGTATTCTTGTTACATTTTTCTAACAGAGAATTAAGTTACATGTACTTCAATAAGAAAATGTTGTATTTTGTTGTAATAAACATTTTTTGTTGAAGTTCAATGTGAACACAGGGTGCACAATTATGATATACAGTGTTAACTGCCGATGTAGCTTCTTCAGAGGCTAAGGCTTAATGGCACATTATATGAGGTTCATTGTTATATTCATGTACATGTACCTTTCCATTGTAGACTGCTCTGATAGCCTCAGATACCCTATACTAGGTCGTTGTGTCCTGACACTACATGTACATGTAGTTAAGCTTACATATGACTTCATCCAAGATGGTGTGCAAGAATCAAAAGCTTTTGAAAAGTGTGCATTTTATGTGAATGCTATGTTCATTGAATGGTACTACATGTTTGTATTCTTGTTACATTCTTGTAACAGAGAATTTACTTTAATGAAACTTTATTGCATGTTCATTCCCCGGAGGGATAAATGCATGGATGTACAATGTACTAGAGATTACTAAAACAATAGTAGTATAAAAGGCTAACATTAGGTCTAAGGTATACAATGCTAAAAATAAGATAAAAAGAAATATAAATATAAGTGGTATTGATCTAAGTTCTAATGGCTTCTTCTCTCTTTTTGAAACATTTTGAAATATACTTACATACTTCATTGATGACGTCTATATTTGTACATGATATAATATATTTAAAGGTGTCTTCCTTTGATAATGTTTTACATTTTTTGTCGAGCTTAATTGAACTGAACAGTGATTTACGTTCGTTATCATATAATTTACAGTCAAGCATAAAATGCGATTCATCTTCAATACACGAATTGTTACAGAATGTACACAGTCTATCTTGTAACGGTGTACGGCTATGCCTGCCAGATTCTATGTGTAGAGGGTGGTCGCTAATACGGAGTTTACACATGGCTCTGCGGTTTTCAAAATTTGGGATGTCTAAATATGGTTCTCTGTCGTATAGTACTTTGAATGTTTTGTATGTTCTCAGTTTGTTGCCTTGATTTTTCCTTTGTCCTTGTGCTTGTAGTGCTGAGTTGAATTTCTGGATGAATATATCTTTTAATCTTTGTCTTAGTTCATGCAGATGGAATGGTTTGTTAATATAGTCATGTGTATATAGGCAGGCATAGCCGGACTCCTCTAAAATTGTCTTCATGTTCAACAACCAACAGGGTACTTTACTTCTAACAAGGTCTTTTTGTACTATGTAAGCTTCATACTGAAGACTTTCAACGGGAACATTTCTAACTAATCTATAATAATAACTGTACATTCTACAATACGCTTCAATCCATAGGGGGAAGCGGCCAAGTTCAGCTCTACTGGCATAGTTACTAGCGTTTCTTCTTAATCCTAGAATTTGTTTACAGAATTTTAAGTGTGTTTGTTCAAGCGGCGAGTTATCATTTAATCTGCTGTTGCACCACACGTCCGCCCCGTACAGTAATATAGGGACAACACACTGATCAAAAAGCTTACAGTAAACTGATATAGGCGCCCTAGTGTCTCCTAGAGTACATTTAATACTGAACAACGCCCGTAAGGCCTTCTTTTGTAGTAATTTCATCGCTGTGTTAAAGTTACATCCAGCTGTAAAGACTACACCTAAGTAAGAATAAGACGAAACTACTTCTATGTCTTTGGAGAATAATTTAAAGCTAAGTTTTGAAAAGGTGTGTCCTTTCTTATTAAATATAAATAATCTTTGTTTTATTTAGGTTGACAGTTAGTTTCCACTTTTGGCAGTATCTACCAAGACGTGTCTATTGCATTTTGCAG